CTAAGCACACTTTTAGTGGTAGAATTACCCAATCAAAGGTATTTTGTCCTACTTTCATACTATGATTTCCCTTTATCACATACATTGATTGTGGTGTCATTACTCTAACACTACATCTCACTAATGCTAAGGAGCTTTGATTTCTAACATTACACCCCATATAAGCACTAAGGAGATAATTTCTAACACCACACCTCAATAGGTACTAAGGAGATGAAATTCTCGAACACCATAACTTGTCGAGTATTAAGGAGAATAATGCCATGTGGACTTCTCACTGCTCCTTCCTATAGGTGAACTCCTACCCCTTATTATTATGCTCACATACAAACCACCTATTCGTATACACATCACCTCTTTCTACTACTTTAATCAATCCCAACACACCCTACTTAAATCTTCCATTCCTTTTTACTGCTAATTTTGGGCTTAGTTATGGTTACAACTCTAAATCTTTATCATTTAACTCAAAGCTATTTGTTAAACCTTAATTTGATTCTCAAGAACCTCTTTATTAGTAAAGGGTAAGAAACAAACTTTTTAAAATTCTCTAATTCAATTTCTCTATAACTTATATTGAGAGAAATTAGTGTAAAATTGAAGGCAAGGGTAGTACGAAACTTACCCAGTAAGCTACTAGTCCAAAATATCTCCCAAGCTTCCACAAATCCTTGCCTAAGTTGAGGAACCCTTCTTCTCTTCTCCCTTTCCTGTTTCCTTTCTCATCCTCTCTACTCTCATAAGCTAAACACGTCCTTATTAACTAATTTCCTATGATGTGCATCATGGCATATGCAGCTTGTGCTGTGGCATGTGGTATAATGAGGAAAATCCTCACTACATGTATCTACTTCAATTCAAAATGCAATCCTTCCGTACATGTATGCTCATTCAATACTCTAAATAGTCAAGATACCAAATTGTCACCTAAAATCTTAATCACTCACCAATTGCTAATTTACCTCAATTAGCAGTTAGTTTCAACATTAGGAAATTAGGATGTTACACTCTACAGTTCCTAGTTATCAACCACACTCTTAAAAAAATTAAAACCAATTCAATTTGTAAAATCAATATTATAATCTTTATTCTAATTTGGGAAAGAATTTAAAATACTTATTTACATACGCACCCACTTGATTTCACTTTTTTTGTCAACTATATCCCTTGTAACATCTTAATTTTCTAATCTTGTGATTAGTTATTAATTAAAGGTGAGTTGGTACTTGTGAAGTGATTAAGGTTTTGAGTGATAATTTGATGATTTGACTCATTAGGATGTTAAATGGACAGATATAGGTGAGAGGATTGCATTTTAGGTCGAAGCAAGTATGTGTGGTAAGAATTCTTCTCACTGTGCCATGTGCCAGGGCTTGTGCTGCATGTGTTATGGCTCACGGATCACAAAGTAACTTCTTAAGTTGTGAAATTTCATGAATTTTAAAAGGAAAAAAGTTGAAATACACGAAAGGGAAAAGAGAAGAGTGAAGGGTGTGCTAGGGCAAGCTATTTCAAAGTCGTGGAAGGTACTTCTAATTAGTAACTTAGTACGTAAGCTACATATAACTCTTACCTTTCATTCAACCCAAGTTTCTCTGAATGAGTTATAGAGAAATTGAATTGGTAAAATTTTAAAGGATTGATTCTTACCTAATAGTAATAAAAAGGTTCTTGAGAGTTAAATTAGAGCTTTATGACTAGTTTAGAGATGAACGATAAAGCTTTAAACCTGCAGGTTCAATTTGGCCCTAAACTAAGAGGAAATTAGGGTGAAAATCATGTTTGAGTCAAGTGAGACCAGTTGAAGTGATGTAAAGTGGTAATTAAGTAGTAATGGACCTAAAAGGGATAAATGGAAAAGAATAGATGGCTAAATGTAGCTATAAGTAGTAATTATGTGCTTTTGGTTTAATTTAACCAATTAACTCAATTGTGCTAATTGTGTTTAAATTGGCATATCGCACATGTGAATTGAGAAAGGAAGCTTCTGACGAGCTATAGTGGTAGTTAAAATTTATGGGTAACCTTTCTAGTAATAAAAAGGTTGAGGTAATCGAATAACTTACTTTGTTTGACTATTTTTTATAACTATGTGTGAGTTTGCTATGTAGTTCATGAAATTATTTTGAACTAAGCATATTTTGTAGCATTGAATGTTTATTGCATAAGAAGGGATTTTGGTTGAACGAGTAATGAAATTTATGTAATTTGATATAGAAATGTGTATGTGCATATATATGAGTAAAGTGGTGACTAGGAACCTATGATTGGTTTGGAAAGCATGATCATAAGGGTAAAACTTCACCTATGTAGAGTGTGGTGATAAGACCATATGGTATGTTCTCCTTAGTACTTAACGGGGTACGGTGTTGGAGAATTATACCTCCTTAGTTCCTTTTAAGGTGTGTTATTGAAGATAATCTCCTTAGTGCTTATTGAGGGGCGGTGTTGGAGATTTAGAGTCCTTGATATTTGTGTGATATGGCGTTAGAGTCAACGATACCCTATTCTATGTATTGGGGGAACCCATAGTCTGAAAGTGAAATAGAACATCTTTAGCCCAGTGATTCTACTACTAAAGATAAGCTCAAGGCTAATGAGATTGTATATTAGTCTAAGGTGAGCCTATAGTTTTGAGTTAAGGTGATTTGGAGGTTTGATAGATAGTGATCATGCTATAAGTGGAAAATTAGTAAAAAATGGTGATTATAGTGGCAAAAGTAATTAAATAAGTGGTAAAGTAGTGAAATGGTTTGTATTGATGAGATTAGAAATGAAACATGTGACATATGTTATGTTAAATGATATATTATACTTTACTTTCATATAGTTACATGTGATAGTCAATAGGTATGAGTTATTTTGTTACTAATATTATTATCTCATCCTCGAGGTTACATTTTTATAGGACAAGGCAATGTGAACTTTATAACTGTAAGGGAAGAGTCTAAACCAGCTTAAAGTTATTGAGGTCATGTGAACTTCGAGTATTGTGTAATAAATCAAAAACTTCTATATATATGTACATAAGTTGTCATAGGGTTGCATGTATGCTTTAAATGTTTAGAGTTGAAAAATCTTGTGAATATTGGTGAATCCTAGCCCATGTATGAAATTATAATGAAATGAGTAATTTGCGGCTAAGATTGAGTTGTGATTATGTTATGAATATAGATATATGCAAATTTATGGTGAAAAGGGCTAAGTGGGCCATTTTGTGTTAAGTGGTAAGGTCTTGTGAAATATGAAAATTGGCCATTGAGAGGTCAAATTTTGGTATATGTGTATATTTATGATATATATTATGGTTAATTAGGTGTGTTAAGCCTTTTTTGGACTTGGTTCGAAGTCTTGTATGGTTTAATGAGACAATAGGTTTGATTTGAGTACTTAGGTGCTTGAAATTCTTTGAGAAAGTGATTTTTTACACTAGGATGTCCAAATTATGATCAGACCATTAGATCATGTCTAAACATGTCTCATTAGATAGCTTATGAGAGAAGCTTCACGTGGGTACTTGAATTACTTCAATTGGAAATTGAGGAGGAGTAAGAGCTAAAAGTTCAATCGGTTCAGTAACGAAGAGATAGGCATGGTGTGCTATTTGAGAAGCTCAAAGATATAGTGGTAGATATAAGGCAGATAGTTAGGGATCATAACACGATCCTGAGAGGTAGAGAACGTGAGGAGAGAGTTAAGGCTCAAGATATCTCAGTACATTAGGAAGCATACAATAGACCTAGACTTTCTTAGGTTTCAAGTAGCAGGCAAGAGATTCCTAGCATTGATCTGTCAATTGATCATGCTTGGAATATTTTTTTTGGTTCAACCCACTGACTTTTAATGGTAGTATAACAATAAGAAAAGCAAAGCCATGGATCGAGTGACTAGAAACCATCTTTAAGGTGGTGATCTATGCCTTCAAGCAAAAGGTTATCTTAGCTATGGTACAGCTAGTTAGTGTTGCCAAGAGGTGATAAGAGTTTGTGAGGCCTTTAGGTAGGATTCAGTTGAGTTAGGATGAATTCAAGAAAGTTTTCTTTGATCAATATTTCCTAGTCCCATTCAAAACCGAGAAGGAAAAAGAGTTTCATATATTTAGACAAGGAGATCTAGATGAAGAGGAGTTCATAAGAAGGTTTAATGACCTATCAACTTATTCCATATATCTCTAGCACAGTAGTGATACAAAGTGGAAAGTTAAGTGATTACTGAAAAAGATGAGATTTGAGTATCACTAGTAGATAGCATTGTTAGATGTGATGACTTATAAGGAGATATGCCATAAGGTGAGAGTAGTAGCTAGGCATGGTAGAGAGGCAGATGTCAAGAGGAGATGAGATAGTATAAGGAGATTTTCATTCCCTTTGGGTCTGACAATCATAATTTTAAAGAAGCCTAGCTTTCATATTAATAGTTCTAGTTCCTTGAGAAGGAAAGGATTTTTCAAAGGATCTCAATCTTAATCTGTGTAGAGAGGGTCAATGTAGAGAAGTAAGGTGGTGAGAATTAGGCCTCCACAGTTTTCGAGGCAAGCATTGAATATTCGAGCACTGACGCTGAGTATTAGAAAGACACCCCCAGTGTAACATTTATGGCCAATCTCATCCAGGAAGATGTTGGGCTTACTTCAAGTGTGGCAAGGTAGGGACATATAGCGAGGCAATGCCTGAAAGCCAGAGTTAAGGGAACTGAGTAGCTTTCTTCTATTCTTAGTTGAGTATCCACAGTCATACAAGAAGAGGCCAGAGCATCTCTAAACCTAATCAGAGGTATGATTTCTGTTTGTGGTCATTAAGTAAAGGCACTATTTGATTCTGGTGCCACTCATTCCTTTATGTCTAAGGAGTGTATGGATAGACTGAGCTTGTATTTGCTAGAATTACCTATACTCATTAGAGTGACAATGCCTTATAGATCATCTAGTATTACAAGCTTGTTAAGGTGTGGAGATTTAATTTGAGAATAAAGTTTCTGAGATTGATCTAATTTGTAATACTATGAAAGGAATAGATGTGATTATTGGTATGGATTGTGCTAGAAAGGTGGCTTTACTACTGATGTTGTGTGCGGTAGTGGATTCTTCAAAGAAGCCTGAGTTCTTGTCAGTGGTTAGTGCTGAGAAATTAATTCAACAACATTGTGAGGCGTATATGGTATTCTTTACCTCTAGTACAATGTATGATGGTGGAATCGAGAAGTTTGAGGTACTAAGTGAGTTCCCAGAGGTATTTGCCAATGAAGTGACTGGATTACCTCCTGGAAGGGAAATTGAGTTCTCAATTGATTTGGTTTATGGAACTGAGCTAATATCAAAGGCCCTGTATAGAATGTCACCACTAAAATTGGATAAATTGAAGAAACAAATTGAAGACTTATTAGACAAAGGATTCATTAGATTGAGCATATCATTTTAGGAGTCACCAATATTGTTTGTAAGGAAGAAGGATGGTAATCTATGTCTTTATATCAATTACGGTAGTTGAATAAGGTAACTATAAAGAACAAGTATCCTTTGCTAAGGATAGATGATCTTTTAGAACAATTGGCTGGTGCCTCAGTCTTTTTCAAGATAGATTTGAGGTTAGGGTACCATTAGTTAAGAGTTAATGCAGTAGATGTACCCAAGATGTAACATCCTGAATTTATTAATTTTGAGATTAGTTGTTAATCGAGGGTAAAGTGGTAATTAGTGTGGGATTAGAAATTTAGATAATTACTTAATAGTTTGACTTGTTAGGATGTTGCATGAATAGATATAGGTGATAAGTTGTTCAGATTGGCATATTGAGCATGTAAGTTAAGAAAGGAAGCTTGTGATAAGCTATTGTGGTAGTTGAAATTCACAGAAAACCTTTCTAGTGACAGAATGATTGAAGTAACTAGATAACTTCCTTTATTTGACTATTTATTCTAATTATGTGTGAATATGCTATTTAGTGCATAAAAGTGTTTTGAGCTAAGAATGTTTTATGGCATTGTGTGAATGTTGCATGAAAATGGCTTTTGAGTAAAGAAATGAATAAGGAAAATGTGATTTCATATGATATGTATATATATACATTGTAACATCTTGAATTTCTTAATCCTAAGATTAGTGGTTAATCTAAGGCAAATGGTAATTGATGTAGGATTAAAGATTTGGATGATTGCTTTGTGATTTGATTTGTTAGTGTGTTGTATGAATAGCTATGAGCGGAAGGGGCATGTTTTGAGTTGAAGCAAGTGCATGTGGTGAGAATAAATCCACTGTGCAACGCGCTGCGGCTTATGCTACATGTGCCACGGCACATGGACCATAAAATCACTTTTTAAGTCATGAAATATGGTGATTTTCAAAAGCAAAGTTTTGAGAAACACATAAGAGAAGAGAGGTAAAGGCTTGAGAAGCTAGAATGAGGTGTTTCAAGCTATTGGAAGGTGATTTGGATTCATAACTTGTAAGGTAAGCTACGTATAACTCTTACCTTCCATTCTACATAAATTTCTCTAAAAATGAGTTATAGTGAAATTGGACTGATGGAATTTGAGAGGTTTAATTCTTGACCAATGGTACTAAAAAGGTTCTCGAAAGTTAAATTAGAGCTTTGTGACTAGTTTTAAGCTAAAAGTAGAACTTTAACTTGTAGGCTCAATTTTAGCCCTTAGAGAGAGAAAGTTAGGGCAAAAATTTAATTTTTGTGAAACAAGACCGATTGAGTTAATGTAAAGTAATAATTGACAAGTAATAAACCTAAAATGAATGAATGAAAAAGAGTTTACGGATGAATATAGCACTAAGTAGTAAAAATAAGTTTTTGGTTAAAATGGACCAAATGACTAAAATGTGCCAAATGTATTTAGATTGGCATTTTGGATGTGTGAGTAGAGAAAGGAAGCTTGAGATAAGCTATTGTGATTGTTAAAATCCACAGGTAACATTTTTTATGATAGAAGGGTTGAGGTAACTAAATAATTTCTTTTGTTTGATTGTTTATTATAACTGCATGTTAGTATGCTATGTAGTGCATAAAATGATTTTGAACCAAGCACGTTTTATAGTGTTGTGTGATTGTTATGTGAAAAGGCTTTTGGTTGAATTAAAGCATTAAAATGGGTGTTTTTAAATGATATGTAAATTATATATGCTATGTATGAGTAAATGAGTAAAAAGGTAAATAGGAACCTTAAATGGTTCAAAATGCATGATTATAGCAGTGGGAGTTCACCCGAGTAGAGGAGATGATTAAGACCATATGGCAAGATTTTCTTAGTACCCAAAAGGGTGCAGTGTTGGAAACAATTCTCCTTAATGCCTATTGAGGTACGGTATTAGAGAAGATCTCTTTAGTGTCTATTGAGATGCGGTGTTAGAGATACGATACTTCTTAGTGTCTTTGTGATACAGTGTTGGAGTCAACAACGCCCTATTGTGTGTACTGGGGGAAGCTATAGTCTGTTTGTGCATTAGGACATCTTTGCTCGGATGATTCTACCACTACAAGTGAGCTGAAGGCTAATAAGAGTGTATATTAGTCTAAGGTGAGCCTATGGTCTCATATCGAGGTGATTTGGAGGTTCGGTCAATAGTGATCATGTTATAGTATGTTATATAATACTGAGATATGTTATGAAATGCCATGGAATCCTTTGTGAATAATGAAAGTTTGAGAATGGAATGATATATGTAAAAAAGAAATGAAAATGAGATATGTGATATAATTGTTATATTAATGAGATTTAAATGGTATAATATTTTTTGCTTCCATATTGTTGCATGTGATACTCAATAGGAATGAGTCATTCTATTACTGAGATTTTTATCTCACCCATATAATTACATGTTTATAGGATCAGGCAGTGATTAGGACAAGGAAAGAGAGTCTGGATTGGCTTGAGTTGTGAAGCCGTGTACTCTAAGTTGGTGTAATAAACTAAACTGCGAATTGTGTATTTATGTGTAAATGAGTTGCCATAAAATTGCATGCATAACTTGAATGATGATTTTGTAGAATCTTAGCCCGATTATATGATTTTGTGATGAAATGAATCAAGGGGCTATAATTGAGTTTATGGTGTTAAAATAGTTGTTGTGTTAGAGAATCTTAAACCCAAGTGAGAAATTATGATGACATGAGTAATTTGGGGCTAAGATTGTATTGTGAATATGAATATATATAAATATAATTAGAAATGGCCAAATAGGCTAAGTTATACCAAAAATGGCAAAGTGTGTGAGATTGTGCAATGTGAAAATTGGCCATAGAAGGGTCAAATTTTGATATATGTGTATGATTGTGATAAATTATTGTCAATAAAGTATATTAGGTTCTTTTAGACTTGATTCAAGACCTCGTATGGTCTAATAAGAGAAAGGCATCAATTTGAGTGCTTGGGTGCTCAATTTTTTTTTTAAAAAGTGACTTTATGCATCCGACTATCTAAATTTTGATCAAACCATTAGATCATGTCCAAACCTATCTCATTAGTTAGCTTATGAGCTAAGCTTCGTGTGGGTGCTTGAATCACTCTAATTAGATGACGTATGTGAAAATTGTGCATGTTAGAAGTTCATCATTTTTGCTGTCAATATGACAGCAGAAAATCAGGTAGGCACGCCATGGCACATAGTGTCACATGTCATGACGCATGACATAAAAAAATTGAGCATATGGCTCTATGCCACATGCGCCACGCATGTACTGCACACTGCAGTACATGAACCAAATTTCCTCTTGAATTTTTTTTGATGAGATACATATAATGGAAATGGATTATCTCTACTAAGTATTAGAGAAATGTGTGGTTTGCTTTTATTGTGTTTTTCTCTAATGAATTATGTTTTGTGAAATGAGTCTTAGGCCTAAGCTTTTCAAATAAGTCTTTTGATTTGTTAGATGTGTGCTGTGATAACACCATAATCTTCTCCTATATTGAGTGGATATAAGAGGAGGTTATATATATGTTTCGTGTGAGAAAGTATATAAAGTGGTGATTTAGAACCTATATGGTTCAAAAAGCATGATCATAAAGGTGAGAGCTCACTTGAGTAAAGAAGCGGTGATAAGATTGTATGGCATATTCTCCCTAGTGCTTGACGGGGTACGGTGGTGGAGAATTATAGTTCCTTAGTACCTATTGAGGTGCGATGTTAAAGATATGAGACTAGTTAGTATCTATGTGATATAGTATTGGAGTCAACGACACCCTATTGTATGTATTAAGGAAAACCACTAAAGGTGAGCTCAAGGCTAATAAAAGTGTACATTAATCTAAGGCAAGCCTATGGTTTCATGTTGAGGTGATTTGGAGGTTAGATCAATATTGATCATGCGATGTGATGTGATACATTGCTATATGCTGTAAAAGTGGAAAAAAAAGTGGTGAAATAAGTGTAAAAGAGATGAAATGACTGATGTTAATGATATTGGAAATGAAATGTGTGATATGTTATATTAAATAGTATATTATGCTTTTCTTTCATATAGTTGCATATGATAGTCAATAGGAGTGAGTTATTCTGTTACTGAGATTTTTATCTCACCCATATAGTCATATTTTTACAAGACAAAGCAGCAATTAGGGCAAGGGAAAAGAGTTTGGGCCAGCTTAAGGTTATGAAGCCGTGTAAACTCGGAGTTTTATAACAAATTAATCTAGTGTGAATTTTGTATATATAAGTTGCCATAAGGTTACATGTATGCTTTGAGTAGTGGTTTTGTGAAATCTTAGCCCAATTATGTATGTATATATATATATGGTGGAATGAATTAGGGGTTAAGATTTAGATGTGTATATGTTGTAAATGTTAGTGAATCTTAAGATCATATGTGAAATTGTGTTTAAAATGAGTAATTTGGGGCTAAGATTGAATTTTAAATATGTTATGATATGGCTTTGAATAGTGAAATGGAGAAAATGTAGTGATTTTTGTGAAATCTTAGCCTGATTGTATATTTATGTGGTAAAATGAGAATCAGCAACTAGGATTTGGTTGTGCATATGTTGAGAATGTTATGAGTTTTAGTGAATCTTAGCCCATGTATGAAATTATGTTGAAATGAGTAACTTAGGGCTAAGATTGAATTGTTATTAGGTTGTGAATATGGATAGATATGAATATATGGTGAGAAAAGGCCAAGTAGGCCAAATTGTAACAAATTGTGAAAAGTTGAGAAATGTGGAAATTGATCATTGAGGGGTTAAATTTTGGTATATGTTTATAGATGTCTTATGTTGTGGTCAATTAGGTATTTTAGACTTATTTTAAGGTCTTGTGTGGTCTAATGAGAGAGAGGGATCGATATAAGTTCTTAGGTGCGTGAAATTTTTGTAAAAAGTGACTTTTTGCACTTGAATGTCCATATTTCAATCAGATCGTTAGATTGTGTCTAAACCTATCTCATTAGCTAGTTTATAAGGTAAGCTTTATAAGGGC